GTGGAGAAGATTTTTAGATGTTGGGCTCAAAGCATGTCCAGATGAAGTGAGGGCTAATAGTGGCAATCTGACAGATTTTTCCTGGTTTGCAGTTTGCATTAGGTGTTCCAATGCACTTTCTGTGCAGTCTGTACATCAGCCATGATTGCCCCCAAAGTTTATATCAAGTTGTCTAGTTTCAGCCTGCAGGACGTCAAGAAAAGCACAGTTTTAATTTCTAGTGATTTCAAGCTAGAAAAATGGAAGAAAAATTGGAAACATTAATTTGGAGACGTATAGCCAGAAAAGAATTCAGAATTCAGCCCAAATTGTAGGCAAATAAAAAATAAAAAGTCAGGGCTAGAATCTAATAACAGATGTGCTAACGTTTTCTTCTGAAACATAATTTTTCTCTTTCTAGTCCCCCATGTCTACCAAAGATAAATCACAGTAGAACCAATTTATTTGCAAAATAAGTCTTAGACTTATTATCTTTGGCCTGATTATTTGCATAAAGTGCAGCAAGAATCGAGATTGATCATCGAGGCTGTTTTTAAGTGGGAACTTTTTCATAAGGAATCTCAGAGTAGACTCGTAAAAGCCTCTAAGGCTAGGAAGCCGAAGGCTCCACATCGCAGGCTCTGCTTTCCAAAGCCGCTCACCCCTCTGCCTTTCCCCGTCATGCTCTAAGCTGCAGCCACAATTCATTGCTTTTTCAAAAAAACCCTCCCACGTTCTCTCTCGCCTCTGAGCCTTTGCCCCTGCTTCCCCTTTCCTGGAATGCTCTTGCTCATCTTCATACCCAGAGAACCCTCATCCTTCGTGTTTTAGGTGAGATACCAGTTCCGCAGTGAGGCCCCCCTGACCTCTCTTCTGTGCCCAGTTAGCTTCTGTCGGCAGTTCACACACGCTATTTGTAACTCCCATATCCCCTGTAGGGCCATCCTGGAAAAACCAAGGAGACGGTCACGGCAAGCAAGACTTCCAGGGGAAGCCCATTTGCTCACTTTTAGTTCTCCTGTCTGGCCAGTGCAGGAAGAAGCGGTGGTCCGGAGACGGTCTGTAGAGGACCACCGCTTCAGCCTGCTGGTGTCTGTGACCATGAAGCTGTTCCTGAATGTCTGCTTCGCTAGAGCTGGGAAATGTAGGCGGTGACGGACCAGAACAACAAAAACAATTTCCTCTATCTGGCAGGGGCAGCAACGGACCTACACTGTGCTCCGCCAAACACAGAAACACCCCAATAATTTAGTCTTTGTTGTACCATCATTGCACACTGACATTCTGTGCATCCCTTTATGAAACGTGTCAGAAGACAAAATCATGGATGCAACTGGATGAAATCAGTCAGTTATTGAAACTGTTATAAATAAATTGAGTTAAAAAGTTAAGTTCAGGAAGCTGGAATACATAGCTCCATTTGCTCAAAAATGTGTTAATAGATTGCCATTTAAATGTGGTACTTTCAAATCACATTTAGGTTAGTGCTGTAGGCCGGCATGTTGGCTCTTCCTTGCTCCCGCGATTCCAGCCACACTGTGTACTTCACTGTTTCTCAGACCTGCCAGGCATGTTCTTGCCTCTAGACTTGCTTTCCCTGCCTGGCACGCTCCCCCTCCACCCACATGTATGCCTTATTTGTTTATGTATTTTTCAGAGATAGGGTCTTGCTCTGTTGCCCAGGCTACAGTGTAGTGGCACGTTCATAGCTCACTGCAGCCTCAAACTTCTGGGCTCAAGCGATCCTCCCACCTCAGTCTCCCAAGTAGCTGGGACTACAGGCAAGTGCCACCATGCCTGGCTAATTAAAAAATATATTTTTTTGTAGTGACAGGGTCTTGCTATGTTGCCCAGGTTGGTCTCAAACAACTGGCCTCAAGCAATCCTACTGCCTCAGCCTCCCAGAATGCTGAGATTACAGGCATGAGCCACTGTGCCTGGCCAACATGGCTTATTTAGATTATCTCCTTTACCTAAAGGAGGTGTCTACTCAATGTCGTCTTACCAGTAAAGCCTCCTCTGACCACTCGATTTGAAATAGAACTCCCTCCTCGAAAAGTTAAAGATGGAATTACCAAGTGACCCAGTAATTCCTTTCTATGTATATACCCAAGAGAAATGAAAACTTATGTCCTCACAAAAACTTGTACTGAATGTTCATAGCAGCATTATTTATAACAGCCAAAAGGTGAAAAAACTCAAATGCTCATTAATAGATGAGTGGATAAACAAGATTCTATGCATACAGTGGAATGTTATTCAGCCACAAAAAGGAACCAAGTGTTGACCTGGGCTACAACGTGGATGGACTTGGAAAACGTTATACTGAGTGAAAGACGCCAGACACAGAAGGCTACAGGTTATATGATTCTGTTTATAGAAATGTTCAGAAATGTCCACAGAGATAGAAAGTAAATTGGTGATGTCCAGGGACTGTGGAGAGGGGACGATGGTGAGTGACTGCTAATGGGTACGTTGTTTTGGGGGGTATGTTGGTAATGAAATGTACGGAAGTAGATGGTGGTGATGGTCACACAACTCTAAATAATACTGGAAACCACAGGCTTGAGCAATTTGAAGGAGTGAATTTTGTAGTATCTGACCTATATCTCAACAAAGCTGTTATAGAAAAGTCGGATCTCCCTGTCTTTCCAGCACTCATTATTCTCCTTTCCTGATTTATTTTCTTGCTACTCCCTACCTAACCTTTGATTTATTTTGCTTACTGTCTGTCTGCCCTGGATTATCAACTCCACGTGATCAGAAGTTTTTGCCTATATTGTTCACTCTCGTGTCCCTCGGCCCTAGAACAGTGCGTAGAGTAGGTGCTCTACTCTACGCTGAATAATCGATGGAATAGATGTGACTATCTCTACACTGAAGCTGGCACTAAGAAGTCCTGTGAAAAAGATAAAAAGATCATTGCTCAGATAAAAGTAAGAATAAAAACTGAGACACTTTTATATTACACAAATAGAAGAAAAAAACTTTATGAAACTAGGTGTCGACTGAAAAACCTTAGCACGGACTTACGGCTTTGTAAGATGCAAGACTCATCTCTGTTGGTGAGTAACCGAGGACTCCTTTCTGGGATCACTTGGCCTGCAATTTTGTGGTCCTAGCAGCTAAAGTTCAGTCCTTTACTCTTTGTTTCCCCCAAGAAAGTTTGCTTCCCTGGCATTCTAAGACACAGTGTATTAATAGAAATTTGAGGTGCAGCAAGGCCAGCAGATCAGGAGGTGCTTG